ACTAACAATAGTACTTGTGGGGGTAGGTGTAGTGGTATTAGGAACAGCAGTACTAGTTGTAATGTCAATAGTACTTGTTGGGAAAGGTGTAGTGGTATTACGGCCTGTAGTACTAGTTGTAACTTCAGTAGCGCTTGTTGAGAAAGCAGTGGTTGGAATAGGAAGAGTGGTACTAGTGTAAGCAGAAATAGTGATAACAGTCTCAAAAGTGGTAGCCTTAGTAGGAACTGTAGAAGGATGTAGAGAACTTGTTGGGAAGGTACTTGTCATAGGTGTAGTAGAAACTATAGGGCCACCGTATATCCAAGTAACCTCAGTTAGCTTTTCTAGGCTAATAATCTTGTCAGTCAGTTGAATAGTCAGCGTCTGCCAGAAAAGAAGAGATAAAGTTGGTATTTGAGAACTTCTTAAACATCACATTTAAGTCATTTTCAAATTACAATTTAACAAAAACCACTGTATTCATTCTTTTCCAGAGAGTAGTAAAAGGATATAAAGATTCCTTTTCAGGTCACTGACTCCAGGCAGATAAATAGGGGGATATGTTGTGTGCATGACCCCTGTGCTGGAAATCTGTGTCTTTCCACTTCATTAGGTCATACCACATTGCTTGCAAGTATTTGCAGCTTTGATTAAGCATTGATAACCAACACTTATAAAAATCTCTTTGCCTTGCCACTAGATTTTAACCGTCCTCAGGGCGATGTGGCTTCATGTTTTTAACAACCCCAACGTGTAGTATAGTGCGGGGCATATAATAGGCATCTGATATGCTACAAAGTTTCCTACAAAGAAGTTCTGCATCAGTCTTAACTGGAAGTAATTACTTGCAGAGGGTGGTCTTGAGCTCAATAGTCCAGGAAAAATGTGTTCAAGTAGAGAACTAGAAAGGACTAGAGAGAGAAAAGCTATCCGATTGTTCAGAGGGTCATTTTCCAAAATCCAAATATCAGCAGAGCAGGCACTCTTTCACTGCTTGGAAGACAGGAACTATACTTACCCATTTTCACTTTGCTAAATGACCCCCTACAGGTCACTGGATCATACTTAGGACAGGTCTAGTGTTCTAAAGTGGGATATTCTTCCCTCTGTGGTTACTCTTGGTAACTCTACTGGTAATTTGTCTTCCACGTAGGTGGCTCCAAATGCAGACCCTGCTAGAAGGTCTAGTAGGGTCTGCTATTTATCACTCTGTTTTGTTAACCAAATAATTTTATCTCGCATCACAGGTGGGACATATTCATTTTGATGATTACTACAGTTGACTGCCAATTTTCACCAACCTATAAGATCTATCAGTTTGACCAGGGACATGAGTAATTTCAGGGAGGAGGGAGAAAATCTTCAACAAGTTTAGGGGATCACACTTTCATTTTAGCCTCCGCCGCAGAAGCAAATAAGTTTTGTTATGCTAGCCTGAGAGACTAACCTCACTTAACACACTGAACCACTTCTGGGAAACACAGGGAAAAGATTTCACCAGACCATTGATCATTGATCCCTGGACTACATTGGGAAGACCACTGAAGCTACACATTTTACAATAGGATTCAACACTCCCAACTTTTCAGGAACATACTATTGCATGTATCTTTATAACCTTTCAAATATAAGCAAGTAAAAGAATGAAAATAAAAGTGGTGATAACTTTGCAGAATAATAAAATTAATTTATGATATAACATTCCTTTGAGACATACCTGATTATAAGGATCACTCTTGAAATTCATCTCCATGATTTGCTGGTTGTCATAGGTGAAAGTGACTTGTGTCACAAAAGTAGAGCTTATTCCCCAGATTTTAATATATCCAACTTTCAGTGGATTCAAGTCACTCAAATACTTATTGTGTTTGACCTGGATTTGCAGTAGATTCTATAAAGAACATTTAAAGAGAAAAAAATACATAATACATCTGTTGAGAGACTGTATTTCACATTAAAGTATTAAGAAACCTCAAATTACTATTGTTGTGCTGGTTTGCTGTTTTATTCTTAAACACTTCATGAAGATACACTTCCTGAGTACCTGCTATGATAAACTTGATAATGCCAACATAATGAAAGTTATTTTATCTATATTGTTACTAATTCTTACAAGGATTTTGAAAAGTAAGTATCATTATCTTAGTTTTACAGATGAGGAAATTGAGGCTCTGGGAGTAAAGGGAGTAGCTAAATGACACAGATATGGGTGGAATCATGATGTGCCTATGTGCATAGCTCTGTACGGGTTAACACAGCATGAACAAAGAATCCCGGAAAACGGCCCCAAGACTAAGGATAGTCTGCAATAAATATAGGACTGGATTAAATCATGAACTGCTTAAGTATCAACACAAGGGTTAAACTAATGTGAGGTTAAGTCATGAAGTAGTACGTGATTAAGGCCTAAATGAAAATCATAGGGAATATTTGTTATGGATGGTAAGAGAAAGGAGAAATCACCACGGAATAGGGGGGGCTCAAAAAAGGACTTAGGAAGGCCATGGAACTTTAGGAAGCCTGGAAGGTGGATGGATTTAGAAAGGTGAAATGAAAGAGGAAGGGGCTGGAGGCAGGGTCGTGTGGAAGAAAATCATGCTCATTGAGTGCAAAAGCTATGGTAGCTCACACTGAGTAAACGAAATAAGACTGGTTAAGATGTAAAATAGGATGAGGAAGATTTTATGCAATGAATCAAAGAGATAGTTGCAGTAGAGTGACACTATAAACTCCTTGACTCTCATGGCAACAGGAGAAAGAAAAAAGAAATCTGTTCAGTTGGCTTTATGGAGAATTTAATAAGCTTTGAGACTGACTGCACAAGCAGAATCAAGGGAAAGTGAAGAAAAAGGGATATAACTTCAAGTAAATAGGTGTGCCGAAGCTAGCGCTTATTGATTTGGGAGAGCCTACTGTTAAATTGCCTGAAATTCTGCAAGCCAGGTGATAGCTTGAAATTAGCTAAAATGGTGGAAGTACTTACATCACAGGAATTAGCAAATGCTACAAATGAACTCCACACTCCTATTACCCCATACCAGCCAGCACACCACTGATAATTGCCCCATGGAAAGTTAGAAGCTTTCTTTCATGTTAAGCCTCTGATCCTTAGAAAGAAATGCCACCAAATATCGCATAGAAATAAGAATTCACTTATCACTTCTTTGGAATAAGAGAAGAATGAAATTTTAGAGTTAGGAAGTATTTAAGGAAAATGTAATGGTTTATAATAAATAAACACAGCTTAAACAGGGGAAGTGCATTCCCTAGGTTAAATAACTAGTTAGTATGACCAGAACTGAGATCCAGGACTTCTAAATCAACAGTTTCATTAAAAAAACATTTTGAGAGGAAAAATATATAGTCTTCAATTCAACTTTTCTTAAATTAAGAACAGAGAATTTACACATTTAATTAGTATACAAAGTCTTGCATTTAGTTTCAAAAAGGCAGCTGCAGGATGGAGAGAGCATGATCTGACAATCATATCTATGAGGATAATTTAAAAGTTTTAATTGACCATGAGATTTATAATATGTGATACATGTGTTTAAAAAATTAACACAATGTGAGTCAATAACAGTAAGAAAATAGACTATAGCAAAAAGAGGTCATAGTTAGGTAATGAACTGTTTATTGTTTTATGTCACTAATGTTTTGAGGTTGCCTGTTCTGCAGTATAAAGTTCATGCCATCCTACAGAAGTATATGGCAAGCCACATATGTAATTTTAAATCTTCTTATAGCCACATTTTTTAAAAGTAAAAGGAAACAGGAGAAATTGATTTGAAAATACATTCTATTTAACCCAACATATCCAAAATATTATTTTAACATGTATTCAATATATAAATATTAATGGGGTATTTTACAATCTTTCAAATATTTCAGATTAGGCTAGTCACATTTCCAGTGCTCAGAATTCACACGGGGTCCCTGGGTGGCTCAGTCAGTTAAGCATCCAACTCATAATTTCAGCTTAGGTCATGATCTCAGAGTCATGAGATAGAGCCCCACACAGGCCTCCACACTGCACTGGGTATGGAGCCTGCTTAAGATTCTCTCCCTCTGCCCTCCCCCCAACTCCACTTGCACTTGAACGTGCATGCGCTCTCTCTCTCTCTCTCTCTCAAAAAAAAAAAAAAATGTCACATGTGGCTAGTAGCTATCATACTGCATAATGCAACTCTAAGATATTCTTTAAATCCTGGGTGCCATGTTTTAAGAGGAATCTAGACTAACTGTGTTCCAAGCAGAACAATCAGATCTGTTTAAACACAAAACAGAGGAAGTGTGAAGTTAGCCGGCAGTTGTATAATTCCGAAAGAAGACAGAAAGTATATATAACAGACATCTTCAAATAACTGAAGCACTGTTATGTAGAGAAGACAATAGATTTCTGTTATGCTATTTCTTAAATGCAAAATTATAGAGAAGCAAATTCCAGGTTTGACATAGAATGATCCTCCTACTCTAATGAGAATGATATAGGTTATCTCTGGAGTCATTTAACATGCCTGGTAGATTGGTTGTCTTATTTTCTCCAGTTATTCACTCCTCCCTATTCATGTCCTTTTCCATGTGATTTTGGCAATGCCCTCCCTCTCTGGATGGGGCATTCTATCCCACCTTTGTCTTTGGGCTTGGCCACTTGACTTTCCCTTGCTAATAGGATGTTAGTCAACTTGCTGCAAACTGGAGATTTTTAAAAAGTGCTCAAGCATTTCCACTTCTGTTTTTGCCCTCTAACAGTCATAAAAAAGGTTCTGCCCAGAGCTGTCCATAAAGCAATCTTAGATCATATTAACACAAGGACTGGCTTGCAAAATTCCAGGCAATTTAAGAGTAGGCTTTCCCAGGGGAGCCTGGGTGGCTCAATCGTTAAGTGTCTGCTTTCAGCTCAGGTCATGATCCCTGGGTCCCGGGATCGAGCCCTGCATTGGTCTCCTTGCTCAGCAGGGAGCCTGCTTCTCCCTCTGCCTCTCCCTCTTCTTCTGTGTGTGTGCCTTCTCACACTCTCTCTCTAATAAATAAGTCTTTAAAAAAATAAAACCAAAATAGTAGGCTTTCCCAAATCAATAAGAGCTAGCTCCAGCACAGCCATTTACTTCAAGTTATATCCTCTTGTTCATTTTCCCTTGATTCTGCTTGCAATCAGTCTCAAAATCTTGTTGATTTTCCATACTGCCAATTGAACATATTTCTTTTTCTTAGATAGTTGAGGAGCCAGCTGACAGGTGTGTGAGTGAGTACAGCCAGGGTCATCCAAGCAGCCAAACAGTCCCATGACTGATTGCAAGCCAGCCAAGATCAGCCAAGTCCAGCTCAGACCATCTGAACACTACAAACTCATAGGCTAAATAATTTATTTAGTGTTTAAATTATTCATTTATTGTTACAGCTGCTGAAGTTTTGAGGTTGTTTCTTATACACCATTGTTGTGCAAAAGATAACTGATCTAGCATTATCCTGCAAAATATTATCAGCCAGAAAATGATGTCTCATCCCCAGAAAACGTCATACATTTAAAGACTCATTTTTTCACCAGCATTATATGAATTAAAAGTTTCTTCTTATAAAACTGATGGTATACTGGATAATTGTCAAAATAAGGACTGTTTCTTCCTGATATTGATGTCAACAGACCTAATTTATAAGTGTAAAGGAAGGAAGTTCCTCCTATTAAGATGTAGGATATTATTTTGATACAGTTAACTGATAATGTTTCATCTGTAGCTAACTGGGAATGGATTTATAAAAATTCAATAAAATACTCTTACCTGAGTTGCTATAAAGTTTGCCAAGAAATAGTTTCCATTTTCATAGGTATCTGTAAGCAAAAAAAAAAAAAAAAAAGAATAAGCAATTACTCATTACTTCAACTATAGCAGATAATCTTGTATATAGTCAAAGGGGTCACAATTACTGATCAGGATAATCATGAGCTCTCTGAGGAACATTAAGGATAGTAGCCAAGGGACTCTCACTCCAGGGTAGTATGGGGATGTGCATATGGAAGAGGGTATTTCAAGTGAGGATCAAGTGGTTGTAAAACCAGAAGATCTTGGTTGAACCAAAGATAGATACCCCAGATGAGGAAATGTGGAGGCTACTGACTGGTTTCTTCTGTGCCAACCTAACAAGCACATAACCATGAGAGTTGACATGACCATGATGATAAAGGTTCAAAGCAGAGGAGAGTGGTTAGGAATTCAGGCTCAAGTCAGATTGATATGGATTCAAATCCCTGCTCCTACAATTAATAGTTGTGCAAACTCCAGCAATTAACATTTTAGCATCTGTAAAATGGAGATAGTAGCACCTAGCTCATGGTATGCTGCATGAGCAGAGTAAGTACTCAAAATGTATACTTCACTATCATAAGCAAAGTCATCATCATCTTCACCTTCGTGATTATTCTCTTAGATCATCCTATCACAGTGATCTAGTTCCCAAGCTCTCCTGCCTCTACATAACTTACTCCATCAGTTCTTCCCCAGACCCTCTTTGCTCCTCTAGGCTCCAATTATGCTCCAGAACACTCCGTTCTGACAAACCCTTTGCTTGGCTCTCTCTATAGCAAGCAATCACATCTTTTTAGTGCCATATTGTCTCAAAAAAAGGTAGCCTCTGCTTCTTATGTCTGTGGACTCAACTCATAATTCAATCCTACATCTCCTATATTTCAGTTCCTATGTTTCCTTTTTTCACTGAATCTGATCTTTTCAAAGTCACCAGTGACACAATATATTAAATCTAAATATCTCTTCATTATATGCAGGTGTTTTAGGCCTCTTTCCCCACACATCTCTTCCTTGAAATAATCCTTAGTAGATGTCTACTTTACTCATTCTTCTCATGTAGCTTCTATAATTCTTATTTCTTAAAAGTCAGTTCCATTTCATGTTCTGTTCTTGCCCTTATCAACATTCCATCTCTTACCAATATTCCAACATATTCTCTCCTTGAGCCAATTAATCCTCTTCTTTCTTTTCTATAAATTACCTCTACTCTTGAAGAAATAATTATAAAACCTATATTTTTTAAAATTTAGCCTTGGCTAGAAAATGTGACCTAAGCAAATGCTTATAGACTCTTTTAGCAGTTTGAATGAAGAATTTTTAAAGAATGGAATTTTGTTAATAAGGTGATCTAAGATTATCCTTGAGCTAGCTATTAAATCTCCTTATGTAAGGAAAAATTTAACAAATAGTTAAAAACCTACTAACAGAATATTTAAGTTAAAGCTATACTTACACTGTGTCCTGGTGTTTTAAATTTTGAATTTCTAAGTCTGTTGGTGAAATGGAGCAAAGAGCTCCTTTGTGTAAAAGTTTAAAAAAAAAGTATAAAAATTTTAAAACTTTCAGGGACTACTGATTTTTAACCTTGACACTAAGACATTTGTTGAAGGAAACTAAAATTTTATAGAAAAGTGTTTTCTCCTTAAATTTTTGAAATATATTGCTCACAGGGAGCTGATTTTTAACACCACAGTAACTGTGGTGTTATTAACCCACTATGACATCAATCATCTAGTTCTAATTAGCTCAGGCTATATAAAAGGACTCTAGATTCCCTTAAAACATTGGTTCTCAAACAGCAGTGATTTTGCTGGTGGGACTTTTGGCAATATCTAGAAACACATTTGATCGTTACCTCTTGGGGCTGGGGAGAGTGCTTTTGGCATTTGGGGGTGTTGCTAAACATCTTGTAAATAACAGTCCAACCACCACCAGCAACAAAGAATTATCTAGCCCAAATTGTCAGTACTATCAATCATATGTCTGATGAGGGACTTGTATCCAGAAGATATAAAAACACTTACACTTCAATAATAAAAAGATAATCTAATGTAAAAATTGACACAGTTTGTGAATAGACGTTTCTCCAAAGAAGATGTATGAATGGCCAGTAAGTACATGAAAAGATGTTCAATGCAATTAGTTATCAGGGAAACACAAATCAATCGAAGCTACAATGGTATATTACTTCACACCCACCAGGATGACTACTCAAAAAGATGATAGTAAGTGTTGACAAGGATGTGGGGACACTGGACCCCACATGCACCGCTGAAGGAATGTAAAACGGTGCAGCCTCCTTATAAAAGAATCTGGGAGTTCCCATAAAAGTAAACATAGAGTGGGCACCGCTCGGGTGGGGACGGGGGCGGGGGCTGCGGCGGCGCGGGACGCGGGCGCGGACGACTGGATCGCGGCGAGGGGCGCGCGGGGCCGCGGAGAGGGTGAGACGGCCGCTTGTCGCGGTGGGGCCGGCCGGAAGGTCGCCCGGGGCCGCGGGGCGTCTCGGGGCCTCTCGGGGCCGCGGTCCCAGACACCTGCCGCTAACCCGACTGCTTTGTTCCCTGCGGGCCTCCGGTCGGGACGCTGACGGCACTCACCGGGGGTGCCGCGGAGAAACGCCGTGCGTTGCGGCGGCATCGGTGCCCCGGCCCCATTAGAATTTAAAAATCTGTTGTTTGGGGCACCCTGACGCCGAGGCTCTTGGAAGACTGGTGCAGGGGGATGGAGGTGAGCCCTCGGAAAGCGCTGTTGGTTGCCGGCATCCCCCCGACCTGCGCTGTGGCAGAAATCGGGGAGGCTCCGCGGGCAGGTTTGGCGCCCATGGGCGGGTACAGACCGCTCGGGAGGGTGTCCCGGCGGGAGGAGAACCGGAACGTAGCCTTAGTAGGGCTGACTGAGGAGACGGCTCTTGCTCTAGTCCCCGAGGAGCTCCCCGGAAAAGGGGGTGTCTGGAGAGTGATCTTCAAGCCCCCAGACCTGAATAATGAATTTTTAAGCAGATTAAATGAATTCTTAGAGGGAGAGGGCACAACGTTGGGGGAGTTGACCGGAGCTCTTGGATATGGAAACGACCCTTTTGACCTAGGCCAGGACATGATCCCAGAAATACAGGCCCTATGTTGGCACAGGCATTAGAGGAGGCTCTTCGGCCCGCCCTGCGGTACCCGAAATACAAAAAGCTGAGAGTGTTCTCAGGCAGTGACCCTCCGGAACCAGAAGAATTTGAATCCTGGCTGTTTCATCCTACTCGGATGATGAAGACTTGGCGGGTGCCAGATGCAGAGAAAAGAAGAGGCTTGCTAGAGAGCCTTAGAGGCCCGGCATTTGATGTTATTCGTGTCCTCAAGATAAACAGTCCCTCATTACAGTCGCTGAATGCCTGCAGGCTCTTGAGCAGGTATTTGGGGTTATTGATAATCCTAGGGAATTGCAGATCAAGTATCTGACCACTTAGCAGAAGGATGGAGAGCAGTTGCCTGCTTATGTGCTGAGGTTGGAGCCTTTATTACAGAAACTGGTAGAGAGAGGAGCAGTTGAGAAAGATGTTGTGAATCAGGGCCGCCGAGACCAAATCTTGGCTGGAGCAGTCCACAGAACCCTTCGCAGGAAGCTTGCTCAGCCACAGGACGGCCCATCCGCTGGCTTATTGCAGCTACTGGCTACTGGCGCTGATAAAGGACCAAGAGGCAGCTGAGGAGGAGGAGGCGGCCCTTCTCTGGGCAGGACTAGAAGGGCATTTCTCCTGAATCTTAGGCAACCAGGAAGCAGAGCATGAAGGTAGAACAGTCAGTGTACTCGTGATAGACATTAATCAGTCCCTTCCTTGTGCTGCCGAGGAGCTCATTCTGTACAGTTTTCTGTCTAAATCCTTCGTCATTTCTGTGCTATTAAATGTCTTCCAAATGTGTCACAGACTAGGACGGTTGTAGTTCTGCACTAGTATTTATATATTTAGATTTACTGCTGTGAATTTATCACACAAAATTGTACAGAGGGGCTATCGCTACACACATATGGTGCTCTGAGAAATGTCAGCTTATGTGATAACAGGTGCCACGGTAGCCTGTCGGATGTGATGATGTATCATAGATGGTTTTTAGGTGTGTATTGCCCTACATTTATTATGAAGATATGAGCAGTGGTTAAGATACGAAGTTATTTTCTGTCTGAATCACAATTTTACTGATTCTGTGCAGTCAAAACGAGGCAGGATCAAATGCTGAGGTTGATAAGTTTGCAGCTATCACCTCTAACCCTGGGTTTCTGGTATGTGACATCAGAACATCTGGTTCTGAATGTCATTTTAATAGGTGTTAGTGAACTTATAAAATAAAGGAATGCTAATACAATGAAGAAAAAAAAAGTAAACATAGAGTTACTATACAAAGGGGAAATTCCACTCCCTGGTATGTACCCCAGAGAACTAAAAAAATATGTTTATACAAAAAACTTGTACACAAATGTTCATAGCAGCATTTTTCCTAATGGTGAAAAAGTGGAAACAACCCAAACATCTCCTAGCTGAGAACTGGATATATAAAATGTGGTACATTCATACAATATCATACTATTCAGCCATATTAAAGAAAGGAAGCACAAATACATGCTACAACTCAGTAGAACCTTAAAAATGTTATGCTAAGTGAAAGAAGGCAGTAATAAAAGGCCACATTTATTCCATTTATGTGACTCCATCTAATTCCATTCCTATGAAATATTTAGCATACATAGTTGCATAGCGACAGAGTAGTAAACGCCTAGGGCTGCATCTCCTGGGGCTGGAGAGAATGGGGGCAGGGCAAGGGAGGATTGAGGGGTGATATCTAAAAGGTGGAGGGCTTATTTCGGGGATAAAGAAATTGTTGTAAAATTGTCTGTGTAATGGTTGCACAACTTGGCAAACATACTAAAACCAGTGAATTGTACACTTAAAATGGGTACATTACATGGTGTGTGAACTGTATCTCAATAAACCCGTTATCAAAAAAGTTAAAGTCAGGGGGCGCCTGGGTGGCTCAGATGG